GTGCCCCCCTCCCCCTGGGTCACCCCTAGGGCTAGCCAGCCTCTGAGGCCACTGGCATCTCTGCTGGATGCTGGCCACCCCCTGCCCCCTCACTGGCCGTCTTCCCCGAGTGCCACTTGCTCCCGCTGGGCACTAATCAAACCTTGCTGGGTGCTGGCCAACTCCTGCTATCTGCTAGCCATCCCCTCTGCTAGGTACTAGCCACCTCCAGACTGTCTCTAGCCATCCTCTGCTGGGCACTAACCATCTCCTGCCAGCTGCTGGCCACCTCTTGCTGGCCACTAGCCCTGCATATTTAGTCCTTCAAGCCGTGACAGGGCATGAATACTAAAAGCTTGGGGCAGCTCCAGAACCCAGGGAGACCCAAACTACCCTGTACCTTGCCCTGGCACCCCAGGGAGCCCCAAACCAGGAGCCCTGGCACCCTGGGGAGGCCATGGCAAACCAAATCTTGCTCTGGGGCCTCAGCGAACCCCAAACCACCAGTCCCCTGCCCTGACCCCCCGTGGCCTGCCCTGGGGAGCATCCAAGCACTCCGTACCCTTCCCTGGCACCCTGGGGAGCCCACCACCCTGTATGCTGCCTGGGGAGTCCTTGGCACCCCAGGGAGCCCCAAACCAGGAGCCCTGGCACCCTGGGGAGGCCATGACAAACCAAATCTTGCTCTGGGGCCTCAGCGAACCCCAAACCACCAGTACCCTGCCCTGACACCCCGTGGCCTGCCCTGGGGAGCATCCAACCACTCCGTACCCTTCCCTGGCACCCTGGGGAGCCCACCACCCTGTATGCTGCCTGGGGAGTCCTTGGCTATCCTGTCCTCTGCCCTGGTATCCTGAGGAGCCTGTTCTGACCTGTTCCCTGCCCTGGGCATTTCCTGGCCGCTCTGTCCCCTTGGGGAGCCCCTCCTGACCCGTTCCCTGCCCCGCAGAGCGACCCCGAGCTGGTGCAGTGGCGGAAGGAGCTGCGGGACGCGCAGCGCCAGGCACAGCAGCTGCTGCAGCGGGTGCCCCGCATGCAGAACAAGCCCCGCTCGCCCGTGGTGGAGCTCAGCAAAGTGCCGTTCATCCAGCGCTCCCCCAACGGGCTCTGACCCCCTCCTGGTGTCCCCTTCCCCC